TCTTTTGGGCAACAGTTTCTGAAAAGCTTCTTTGGTCATTCGGTCGTATACTAAAATCCCTTTCACTGTTAGTCTTTCGGCCCATTCCTCTGCCCTCTCTTGCTGGATTTCATCCCACTTGTTTAGTAATTTGATCCTTTCAGGGGCTGAAACCTTCGCAGAGATGGGGTGAAAGTGCATACGATCCTCTACCCATTATAGGTCTTTAATGATGCTTGCTTCCTCCTTGTTGCGCTCCGCTGCCATGATGTAAGAGAAGATAATGAGACAATTGGTTGCTATGGACGTTCCTGCGTCCCACAAGTCTCCCAGTGTTTGGAAGTGGTGCTGCAATTTTGGCCAACTACTGAAAAAATTATCTACCCAGACCGAGAGGCCTGGGTCCTTGAGATTTTGTACGTTCAATCTAAAAAAAACATTGCCTCTATCTATTGTGTCTTGTATCTGGAAAGTAAGCTTGATTGGGTAGTGATCAGACGTGGGGTTCCTAATTACCACTATGTTCAGAAGTGCGTCCCACCATGTTGGGTTCAGAACTACAAAATCAAGTCTTCTGAGCGAGCCTGAGCTGTTACCTTCTCCCGGCCTGCGACCCCCAGGTATAACCAGGGTCTGTGGGATGTATCAGTCTGAACGCATCACAGAGCTCCAAGTCTGTCAAGAGGTCCACTAGTGCATGAATGTCAAGGGATCCCCCCGACGTCCCAGTTAGATCATCCAAGGAGCAATTCCAATCCCATGCTATCAGAAAGTTGTCGACATCCGGGGTGTAGGCTATCAGATCCTGAAAAAAATTATTCCTTTCTTCCGTATCTACTGGGGCGTACACCGTCATAATAGCCATGTCGAGCCCATATGCAAAGAGCTTTATCCAAGCCCACCTTCCCCACAAGTCCCCGGTGGAGTCCACGATTTGGATCGGGAGGTCCCTATGTAACAAGATCCCCACCCCCCTCTGGTCCCGATTGTAGGGAACCAGAGTTGAGGGTCATCCCACCAGTTGCCCAGCTCTCTGATCTTCTTTTCGTCCAACTTTGTTTCTTGCAGGCATACGATCCGTACCTTCTGGTAGTGAAGCCATAATTTCAGCCTTGATCTTTTACCCCTTCTAGATGCATCGCACAACTCCTTGATATTCCAGGAAGCAGTATTCAACTTATCCATGCATTATGATGTCCAGTGCCCCTGATTGGATAGGAGGTGGGTGATGAGGCCTTAGGCCAGAGGTTTGTGGGGGTCGGGATCCCGTTATGGAGGACGAGCCAGATGTAGCAGTGGTCGTCCATTTCTGGGCTAATATGTTCTTCAAGAAGAGGGATTGTAGAGTCTTGTTTCTTGCCAGTTTGCTGTTAAGGTTGTTAAAAAATACAGCGTCTGAGACATGTTGAACCCATATTTGTTGCAGGGAGACTGAGTTCTCTTCAACAAATATGGATAATGGAATCAGTCTCATGCCTTCCATGAGGAGGTCGTTCATTTTGTCGGGTGCAATGAACGCGTCCAACAATGGTACGAAAACCTTGCAGGTACGGTTGGAAAGATCCTGATAGAACCGTGGCATGGCCATATCCGGGACCAATCTCAAAGGGAAGCGTTCACCAAATAGTTATTTCGTTGCATCTAGTAGAATTCTCTGCGGTGTAACCGTCTCCTCTGTGCTTTGTGATGCGAGGTTGATTCTCAAGTCTTCTGCTTGCCATGCAATGACATGGATCGACCCATTGATCAGCGAGCAAACTAGGGGCACAAGCCATTTTTCCATTGACGTGGACTGAATCTTTGAGGCAGTAATTGCCCTTCGACTCCTTGAGGTCTTAACGCCTGTTTGCGCTAATTATGTTGGAAATCTGATTGATTTACCGATTCACATTAGCTGGACACTGAGGTCTTGGACGTCTCTATACATGGGCCGCTCGAAGCCGGGGCTGCCTCTAATAGCAGCAATTGAGCAGGGGAGGCGTCTGGTCTAATCGTCTTAGGAACTTTCAAAGGGGACTGTCCCTGAGCGCTTCGCCCTTGAGCATCAACTGCCGAAGCTGCAACTCCTATAAGAGGGGAGGGGTCAGTAGATGATTGGTTTACCCTGCAGTTAATGGCCTAGCCAATAGAGGAATGGGGCGGATTGGCCTGGTGTGTACGAGAGATTCTATGCGGGGGGGGGGTGGTGGTGGTGGTGGATCCTGCCCTACCGTGGTCGCTGATCTCATCCAATAGGTCGTGCTTGGTCCTGGGATGTGCATCGGTGGGATGGATTCGCCTGTCATTCGAGGCTGCATGTCCATTCTCATTCCCCCGTACGGGTCAGCCTCGTGTCTAGAGTTTGGGGAAAATACGGGATTGATTCGTCCTAATTGTGCGTTGTTGTCTCTCGATAGGATGCCAGGGGGTCGTACGTCCTGGGGAGGGGGCCAGACTGGTGAGAGGCTTCTGGATCGAAGGTTCGATCTCTGGGAATTCTGGTGAGATAGCGGGCCCTTGTACTTCGAGCTTCCCCGCCTATTGGCTGAGCGAGAAACGGGTTCAGACTGCGCACTAGAACTGGATGCCAGCGATGATCTATCGTCCTCGTCCTTTTCCATATGTGATGCTCTCTCTCCTCTGAACTTGCTACGCCTTCTGTTCTGGTTACTCGTTGATCGGGTGCATTCCTCGTCCGAGTGGAAATACCATTTGCATCGTGTGCAAAACGGTGTGGATGCGGATGCAAGCTTTACTTCTACCATATCTTCCTGTTTGGTTCGCACCCAAACCCGATCCATGAACCTTTCCCGACACGAAGGATCCAGTTCACAACGGATATTAAACAGTCGAGGATTAGAATTGAATCTGTCCGGTTCATCCATCTTCCGTACTGGTCCAATGACACGAGCTAAGGATGAACGAAGGTAGAAGTAGGCATCTAACGACACTTGTACCGCTAAGACCCAGAACGTGTTTTCAAGCTCTATTCTTCTGAATTCTTTCCATTCTGCTCTGGGCATCCATGCTTTCGTTTCAAATACATACCTCATCCCTTTTAGCTTCATCTCTCCCGCACCTTCATTTATCATCCATTCAGCAACCACCCTGTCTCTTGCCACATAGGATAGAACGTTTGGTCCCTCAGATCTAATTCTACCCCTCCCTACCGGCGGATCGAAGATTCCCTCCTTTCTCCAGCCATTCTCATATGAGCGGACGATATCCTCCTTCACTTTTCTCGGAAGATTCCTGGCTTCATCTCGGAATATGACAACCACTGTCCGTTTTTTCAACCACTGAATTTTGATTTCAACGAAACGGTGATCAACGGTTACCACCGCCTCGTTCCCTTCTATAGTGACATCCTCAAATGGAATATCCTCGGGGCAGTGACCATCATCATAGCACATTGAGCATAAAATTCGAACCCTTTCTTCGAACAGTCTGTCCTGCTCGCTCTGGGGAGAGCCTGTCTCCCCATCGGTCATCACAAGCTCCGCCCCATTTGGGGCTGCCATCTGAGACCCTAGTCCTTGCGAGGTGAAATCTGCAAGAGCGGGGGAAGGGGGGCCGGGGGGGGGGGGAGGATTTGAAACCTAATAGTTGTCCCTATAACGACTTCCTCCTCGCTAACCAGTTTGCGGGCGGAAGGCTGAGATTCGCGGGTTTGGAGCCGAAGGGATGAGGGGCGGCGACGACTGCCAAGTTCGAAAGATAAGTATCTGTAGAACCGTATGCCTCTGGGTAACAGCCAGCGGCACTGGAAACTACGTTCGGTGATTCCTACTTACCTGTGGTACGAGTAACGGCATACGCGCCGCGTGGTAGACTGTGCTCAACAATTACCTCTAGTATCTCTAGTAGAAGCCTGTCATTCTGAGGAGGCTATCGGTGCGAAACAAAACCCTCCGATCTACAAGAGGCTAAGCATCCCATCTATTCTATTGAACCAGGTAACGATCGTGCAGCGGCGAAAGCTTGCAGCTATCAAGCAGGGTTCTCAGTTGTTTCCCTAGTGGAAGAGCTGTCGGAAAAAAAGAGAACAGCACTCCGACCAGCAATCACCGAGACAGACCAATGGTACATTCGGCAAGATCGAGTTGAGTTACCCTCTTGTCTTGAACTAGCCTTCTGATGCTTGGATCTTGGGACGGCTTGTACTGCTCCGCTGTGCCATTCACTGCCCCTGTCCCGAACCTCGGGTGCAGGGGGAGGAGTCCTTGCTGTGGTGGCCCAGTGACCGGCTATGTTGTCCCTTGAGATTAGTCGTGGCGGCGGAGTACCTACGTCATGGTGAAACGGGGCGGGCTTGAAGCGATCATGCTGCCATAGCCAAGGCCATGGTTGCCGCTTTTACCGTGGTAACTTGCGTCATGGCGGCGTGAGAACCACTTGACGGCCGGCAGGTTCACTGTGGTGGACCTCTGCCGGCAGCGCTGCCGTGGGCAGCGCTGAACTCCGCGATTCGATACCGACCAATGACATATCTCTAGGTGGTTTAAGCCCAACCAATTCAATTACCTGTCAAATCTGGACAGGACAGCCTTTCAGGCCTTTTTTATTTTCATTATAGTATTACGGGGAACCCCGTAGCAGCCACATCCGTGCTCAAGCCTCCAACGAGGGAACATGCGGGAGCTGCACCCACCAGCAGGTGCGATACCTGCTACAGCAGATGATACCGGCCAGGGGTCAGCCGGTAGCATCAGGACCGAGCTTCTTCGATGGGCCAGTCACTGTGCCTCCCCTCCGGTCCCCTCCCCTATGAACATCAGCAGTCTCTGCTCAATGCCACTCGTGGGGACCAACGGCATATCTCTAGGTGGCGGGCGCCAAGCTTGCCCAGGAAGGTACATGAGGCCAATGGGGATTGAACCCAAGACCTCCTGAATGCCGCTTGCGTGCCTTACCAACTGAGCTGGGCCGCTGGATGGCCGGCCTGTTTTGTGTAATAGATCGAGCTCAAAAGGAAAAAGAATTGTGAGAGGCAGCTGGTAGGCTTAGGAGTAGAGGTAGCGACGTAGTAAAGGTGAATTCGCGCGAAAACAAGAAAAAGAACGAAAAGAAAAAAAAGACAAAACCGACAAGTCGGAGCTGCGTGAATTCAACACATTCTCGATGGCGAGCGTCGAGATGGGTGTTGACATGTCTGACATGGTGTCATCTAACCTACGGCGTGTTTGCGCTGTGCGACCGGTCGCACAGCAGGACAGGCAGGAGGAGAGAGAACAAGTGAGAGGAGGAAGAGAAGGCAAGAGAAAACGGGGAGGAAAGGCAGCCGCCGAGAGTTGGACAGGCGACGGTAATCAAGGTATTCCACCTTCTTTCTCTCTTCCTTCTCTTCCTGCTGCTCATCCACGTGTCCCCAGGCCTTCTCCACCTTGCTCACCAGCATCCCTCGACAGGTATCCCTCTGGTCCACGTGGCCCCCGCTCATTCCCTGGCCCTCGGTCGTCCACGTGGGCCGCGATCGTCCACGTGGGCCGCGATTGATCACTTGGCCTCCGATCTTCCACGTGTCCGCCAATCGAGGTATCACTGTTGTTCCTCTTCGATGTAGTGGTCAAGAACCATTTCCTATCTGTTTCTTTATCCTTCTGTACGCTGTCATTTTTCTTATTTACCTCTGTGGGCATTGAACTTTTACGTTCCTGGGCGCAATTTCGGCGTTTTTCTTGAATCGAAATCGTCAGGGCTTACCGGGTTCCTGCCAATAGGACCTGACGACGATTTCGGTTCGAGAAACGCCGAAATTGCGGCCAGGAACGTGAAAGGTAAATGTCCAAAGGAGTATTATGTTTTCGTAGCTGACCGTAAGCTTACGGATATCTACGACTACCGCTCAACCGCAATAAAGGAATAGCAAGGTGCCTCCTTGCCTTGCCTTCTTCCTCCCTCACACTCCCCCCTCCTCGTCCTCCTCGTCCTCCTCGTCCTCCTCCTCCTCCTCTTCCTCCAAATCTTCCCCTCCTATTTGTCCTTGCTTAGCTCCTCGTGATCTGCGAACCTTGGCCTCGCTCCACTACTCACGACATGTGCAAAACGAGAGTGAATCTTCCGATAGAACATGGAAAGATACACCGCCATGGTTTTTGTCTTCTGTGCACGTCGAGAGTAGTGGAGCGAGGCCCCTTCAGTCATCCTGCACCACCTCGATCCATACGTTCTGCATCTGGTCGAGTTTTTTTTTTTTTTTTTTTTGTTTTTTTTTTTTTGAAGGGGGACGGCCTTGAGATATCGTCATTAAGCTGACCGGCCCCAGGTAATTCAGAAATAGTTGGTTTCACAACTTTTACTCGTCAGCTTCCATCATCTGGATTCGAACACGGGACTGTATTTTCAACAGTTCATGGGTGTACCCACTGAGCTAGGCTCTTGGGTAGTCGGGGTCTTTTTTTTCCCTCTTCTTTTTTCGTTTTCTGTGCGGAACCGAATCGGTCGACAGAGAGCGGAACCGAATCAGCCCACTCTGTCGACCGAAAAAGGTGAAGTGGTCAACACACAACCCCTCGCCCATGTGGTGGAGGTCTTCACTCCCCCCGACGGACCCCATTACTAATAAGCAGGGAAATCGACGATGGTCGGAACTGAGTACAGAAACATAAAATGATCATCCATCAAACTGAGTTACCGGTGCGACCATCGTCGATTTCCCTGCTTATTACTGTAGTAATTCGGTCCGTCGAATTACCATCGTTGAAGTCTTCTTGCTCATTTGGGTCCAGCGAATTACCATCGTTGATGTCTTTACGCGCACACATAAAATCGAGCACTTTTGTCAGGGCTCCAGCGAATTGTTAACCCTGGGCGACGTGGTGAGTCCTTATCCATCAGTCAAATGCGTCCTGGGCAGACTGTCTGGGTTCAACCTCCTCGGCGATAGTCGGCGGAAGTCGGACGAAACAGTCTGTTCGACACAGTCGCGCTCTTTCTTTTGTGGAGGCTGTGCATAGCGACCATGACACACGCACACACACACACACACACACACACACACACACACGCACACACACACACACACACGCACGCACAGTCTCACACACACACACACACACACACACACACACACACAGATAGGAATTACCATCGTGATTGTCGGTCGTAGAGTCGTTGATTTTTTTTTTCTTTTTTCTTTTTCCTTTCGCCTCATCCAGTTGGATGCCTGTTCCTGCATTTGTCAGGAGACATGAAAAATTGTGAATATGCCCCTTGTGTGATCCTCCCGTTGTGTAGGGAGGCGTTTCGAGTGTGTGGATAGAGTCATTACATTTATTGATGCGCATATCTACATGTGGATAATGCCGATTTTCGTTTTCTTTTTCTTATTCCTTCCCCCCTCCCCCCCCCCCTTTCTTTTTCTTTTCAAAAATGCCGATTTTAGATGTGTAGATACCTCCTACAATCTTCACGTCGATGATTGGCGATGATCGATCCCACGGTGTACATTTCATCCCGTCACAGTCCTTTTCTTTCTTTTTTCTTTTCGAAGCGCGACGGCCTTGAGATATTGTCATTGATCTGATCGGTCCTGAGTAACTCAGCTATATTTGATTTCATTCATCTGGTTCCTTCATCTGGATTCGAACATAGTTCCCTATTTTTTTTAACAGTTCATCTGTGTACACAATAAATTACAGTAAAAAATCGTTGGTATCGCAGTCCTTTTGGTTCGGGATGGGATTTTAGCTTTTCTGAAATAGAATCGTGGGGGTTTTCATTTCATGTGTGAAATAAGTAAATAGAAATATCTGAATGGCTTTGGATGTTAGAGACGGACTGGTGCATGATCTGCATCCGGGTGCCCTTTTTTCAAAAGGGGCGATGGCCTTGAGGTATATGATCATCATCAAACTGACCGCCCCTAGGTAATTCAAGATTGTAGTATTTTTTTTTAGTCCTTTGACTTGAGTGGAGTTCGAACTCACTCAGGTCTGTATTTCAACAGTTCAGTTCAGGGGTGTTTTACTGTATTACCAGCTGAGCTACTACCGTAGGCCAGTTGGTGGTACATCCGGGTGTTTTATTATTATTATTATTAGTAGTAGTAGTAGTAGTTACAGGTACATTGGGATAATTTCTATCACGGAAATTCCGAGTAATTCACGAAAACGTTTTTCACGAAAACGTTTTTTTTTCCGATTTTGGATTCGTCACGAAAACTCAAATCTTGACCCTATTCATCGTTCGTCCCGTAGCTTGCTGTCCCGATCAGACCTTACGAGTAAGCGCGCGCGCGCGCGCACGTGTGACAGACCATTGCAGCGACTTACTGTAAGTCCGATTTTGGATTCGTCAGGGAAAAAAAAAAGGAAAAAAAAAAGATCTATTCATCGTTTCTCCCGTAGCTTGCTGTCCAGATCAGACCTTACGAGTAAGCGCGCGCACGTGTGACAAACCATTTTTGCAGCGACTCAAGTCCGATTTTGGATTCTTCAGGAAAAAAAAAAGAAAAAAAAAAGAAAAAAAAAAGGGTCTATTCATCGTTTCTCCCGTAGCTTGCTGTCCCGATCAGACCTTCTAAAGTCTCTGGAGACTAACGCTGTCCCCGGAGATGGCTGACTTATAGTAGTAAGTACGGTCCTGCGCCGAACAAAATGAACCCTGATCATGAACGTATCAAGCCACCTTTTTGGGTCCGGTACATCCATGATGAGGGTGCCCTTTGCTCGGGCCCTTCTAAACTCCCTGGAGACTAACGCCGTCCCCGGCGATGCCTGACTTATAGTAAGTACGGTCCTGCCCCGAACAAAATGCACCCTGATCATGAACGTATCAAGCCACCTTTTTCGGTTCGGTACAGTCCTGATGAGGGTGCGTTGTGCTCGGGGGAAGATTTTATGCACCCTGATATCAAGCCACCTTTTCCGGTCCGATACGGTCCTGTTGAGGGTGCGTTGTGCTCGGGGGGGGGGGGGGGGGGGAAGATGGTACACATCCGTCAATGTGCGGCTTGTATTTCCTTTTTTTATTTGTTTTAAAGATGTTATTATTATTATGTTCTTAGTATGCTTACTCTGCTTTCTGCGTATGCTTACTAAGCTGTCACGTACTTGTGAGGACAAACCATGCTGTTGCTGGTTTTTTTTTTTTTTTTTTTTTTTTTTGGAGAACATCTCATGTTTTGGTTTGTCCTTATCGATCGTTTTGAAATTGCCACGTCAGCCTTCTTTTGCCGACGTTATCCAATGATGATGTGGCAAACCATGACTCGTAGATGATGCCGGTTCCTGATTTATGCGTGTCATCTTTGCGCAGGGCCCATTCTCTGTATCGTTCAATTTTAACAAATGGCCCGAAGGACGTGATGGCGGTACTTCGAAAATGCTCTTTTGTCAGGAAATTACCGACTGCTTGTATAGCATGATAATTATTTTCGTTGCTGTTGTAGACCCGTCCCCGTCTTCCCCGCTCCTCCCCTCTCTCTCCCTCCCTCCCTCCCTTTCTCTTCCTCTCTCCCTCTCCCTCCCTCTCTCTCCCTCTGTCTCCCTCTGTCTCCCTCTCTCGCCCTCTGTCTCCCTCTCTCTCTCCTCCCTCTCCCTGACTCGCTTTCTCTGCCTCTCCCTCCCTCTCCCTCCCTCTCCCTCCCTCTCCCTCCCTCTCCTTCCCTCGCCCCCAACAACACTTCGTTTACGTCTTTCATTCTGCTATCAACTCCTCGGAAGCACATTTGATCTGTGGGCAGAGATCGCTTTATCCCGCCCTACCCCTCCCCCTCCTCCCCCCCCCATTTTCGAACTGTTGTCCTGGGAGGGAGTGTTTCCCGGGCCCATTGCAAGAGTTTGCGGGTGGCACACTCCCTCCCAGGTTGCAGATCCGGACTTGGGGGCTTTTTCTTTCCAGCCCTATTTGAGAAAGAAAACCTCGAATAATGACTGTCATCACCGATCGCTCGCGCGCGCGCGCGTGTGAAAGACGACTTTGCAGATCGTCGCATCATGTTCCACCACCTTGTTTTTCTTTTGTGTGTGTGTTGTCATGTTCGCTATCCATAACACCACAAGAAAAGCTCTCTCGTGTGTGTGTGTTGTGTGTGTGTGTGTGTGTGTGTGTGTGTGTGTGTGTGTGTGTGTGTGTGTGTGAGAGAGAGAGAGAGAGAGAGAGAGAGAGAGAGAGAGAGAGAGAGTTCACTGGATGTGAAATGCCTTGTCGTTTCGAAGGGAAATTAGATCTGAAACTGGATTTTTTTAATATATGTTTTTGGGGGGGTGCTAATTGATGATGTGTGTTTTTATTTTTGGCGCGCAGTGCGCAATGCACCAAGTCAAGTACCGGGTTAGCGTCGCGAAAGTAAACGTCGAGAGCGACTAACCAATTGGTCGGTCCAGATTGGGATACCGATTTTGATGGGGCTGTCAATTGCGGAAGCGTTGGATTACGCCCGCCACAACGGGTGGCTGGATCTGGAAACTTCGTTGAAGGGTCGTTCAAGCGGGGCGCAGCGGCCATCGCGGTTCAGGCTTGTTGATTATGACCTCGACTCAACCGACGACGACGATGAGGAGAACAGTGAAGAAGAAGAGGAGGTGGTGGCAGTCGGGGGGAGGGAGGGCGCAGATCGCAGATCGGTCGCGGGTCGGCGTGCAACTGGCGGGAATGTGTTGTTGAAGACTGCTACACAGTCATTATCATCATTCCGTTCGATGGAGAAGACTGATGATAATGATGATGGTGATGATGATGATGATGATGATGAGGATGAGGAGGAGGAGGAGGAGGCTGCGGTGGTTAAGGGCAGTAATCGGCAACACGTGGATAATATCGAGGAAGAGTTCAAGAAGCTAATGCTGGAAGTCAAGGAGGGTCAGCAAGAAGATGAGCAAGATGATGATGAAAGGTCAAAAGGCAAGTGAAAGAGAGGGAAAGAAAGCTGAAAATGTTTAATGCAGTAAAAAGCTGTGCTGTTTGGTGATTGCTATACTTATGTAATTGATTTTTTCCCTCCCCTTTTTCTTTCTTTCTTTATGGGAAAAAATCAGGAAGGTGTGAGCGGCCTGCCGCCAAAATAAAGCCCCTCCCCGTTTTGGCTAAATTCGGTTCTACCCGAGTAAACGCTGACATTACTCAGGCCAAATAGAAGTTTTTTTTTGGGGGTGGGGGGTGGGGAGAGGGAGGGGGTTAAATTCCCGTACTTGTTTATCATCTATGCATCAAGAGTTCGAACTCTGACAAACACACAATTGCTAAGGGGTCTGCCCCACAAAAGAAATGATTAGTTTTTTGGCGAATCGGGGTGGTGATTAAGTTATGCCCTATCAAAGATGAATAGATTTGAGAGATACTTTGTGTGTGTGCGTGTTTTGTTTCCCCCCCCCTTCTTGTGTGTGTGCGTGTGCTGATTTCTTTCCCTTTTTTTTGTATGTGCGTGTTTAATGTTTTCCACTCGCTTGGGTGTCCGGTTTTTTTTTTTTTTTTTTGCCCCTTGTGTGTGTGTGTGTGTGTGTGTGTGTGTGTGTGTGTGTGAATTTTGAATTCCCCCCCCCAAAATGCTGTTTTTTGAACTTTTTTGGTCGGGACAATTGTTTAGCTTTTGTGGACTGATTGCCTTTATGAATCGTGATCCATTGGATTACTTTGATTTTCTCAATTCCTCCAGTTTGGTCCATTGGATTTCTTCGATGGATTGGCTTCCAGGAAGTTAGTCCATTGGATTTAATTTTATGTCAAATTTGATCCACTCTGTCTGAAATTTGATTCATTTGGTCTAAATCTGGTTCCCTTGGATTAGGTTGGATTGATTGGTTTCCTGAATGTTAATCCATCGAATTCAGTTTGATCAAATTTGCTCAATTTGCTCAATTTGCTCAATTTGCGCAATTTGCTCAATTTGCTCGATTTGCTCAATTTGATATAATAGGACTTGTTGGAATCGTCTCGATACTGAAGGTGGATCTAAATTATCTAATCAATTCACATTTATCCATTGTGTCATTTGACTCTTTTGATTTCATCTACTAAATTGTATTAATTTGATCAATTTGTTCAATTTGATCTAGAAATTTTGACTTGTTGGTGATCCGTCTGGATATCGTTGGATTTCTTCAGTTCACATTTATCCCTTGTATGATTGGAGTCGTTTGATTCATCTACTAAGTTGTGCCGTCGGTGGATCCTCCCTCTCATTGTCTTTGTCTTGTCGTTCTTGCGAAGTGGGCATTCCGTCAAGCAGCAACAGAAGGCTTGCTGGCAAGGGCGTTGAGTCAAGGAGCGCGGAAGTGCGGAAGGTTGAGGCTGGACGTGCTAACTCTGGCCACAGCAGTGCCGTTGGCTCTCATGCATCTGCAGCATCTCGACGTACGGCGATCTCTGCAACAAATCAAGAGTGCCGGATGCATCAAGAAGGGTTAGCAGATTATGACCTCCCAACAAAGGCAACCCCCTTGATCTCTCCTGCCGCTGCGCTTGATTTGCTTGCGCAATCCGATTTTCCTGGCAAAAGGGTTGGCGTCAACCATAACAATGAAAGATCTGCGTTTTCCTTCGACGTGCTTGCTCGATTAGATTCGCCCAGTCAAAGGGCTGACGTCAACCATAACGAATGTTCTGCAGTTTCCTTTGACGTGCTCGCGAGATTGGATCCGCCCGGTGAAAGGGTTGACGTCAACAATGGAAGGATGATCGGCGTCGCCGTGAACCGTCAAACTTCCGGTGTAAGCGACCAAGGAGGGGAGGGGAAGACGACGGCGAAGAAGAATGGAAATGCTTACGGGGTGGCCAATTTGGCAGGAAAGGAGGATTCTCCCAGTGGCGGCAGAGATACTGTCATCTGTGGACCGATTCACATGGTGCGGGAGGGTTGGCAGGGAACGGATGAGGCTGGTGGAACATCTAGCCTGTCGGGGGGGAGATCGCAATGGCAGGGTAATGATGGCAGTGGTTTGGCTTCAAACACTGCAGCTGTTGCCGCCCCAAACGGAGAAGAGAGTACTGGTGCGATGGACTGGTATGTGGTGGTTGATACTAGTTGCTTTATGGAAGTGAAAGACATGAGTGCCTTGTTTATGATACAATTCTGGGGGAACTGCCGGTGGAGATTGGAGAGCCTAGCAGCCCTTCAACAGGCTACTGCAGAAATGCTGGAAATGTGCAAAGTGAGGGTGATCATGGTTATCCCACAAAGAGGTAACGAACCTTTTCTTCTCTTCTATCTGTGTGTCATCCTTGGGGCAGGGACCATGCTAATTTTCTTTGTATAGTCTCTATAGACCTTTCCCCCCCACCCATTTAACAGATGTCCTGAAGGACACTATCTATATTTATTGTATTTCGTAGAAAGCGAAATAATTGAATTGCCTTACTCTGTGACCATCTTGGGCCGCTGGAGACATGCAAAGTCAGGGCTCTGTTTTGGGCCTCCTGGGACAGTGTTTTGGGCCTCCTGGGGCACGGTTCCACTAGCCGCAGTGTAAGATTAGAACGTAGAGATACCTGCCTTACTCTGTGACCATCTTGGGCCGCGGATGGCCAGAGATTTTGGATGCTGACATTTTTTCTTGCCTTTTGTAGTGCCTAACGGGGATTTCCATGCCATGCCCTCTCCGAGATTGAAAAGCAGCCTGGACCACCTCCCCCTCCCATTCATGGAGGAGCCTGAGTCATATAGTTGCCAAAACATGTCATCAGCCTGCTTCTTCTCTCCCCCATAGAAAATGTTCTGCAGTAGAGATGAGTCTGGGTGGATAGAATGCAAAAAAAATAAAAATAGCACAGAACAGAATAAAATAGAATGGAATGAAGAGAAGAAGAAGAAGAAGAAGAAGAAGAAGAAGAAGAAGAAGAAGAAGAAGAAGAAGAAAGAAGAAGAAGGAGAAGAATAGAAAGGAATGGAACCGAAACGAGGCCAGACCCGAACCAGACCCCGAATAGGAACCAGACCAGAACTGGAATAGGACCAGAATAGAATAGAGTAGAATAGAATAGAATAGAATAGAAATAGAATGGAATTGAATTAAAATTAGATGAAATAGAAATAGAGGACTAGGGTAGACTGGAGTGGACTAGAGTAGACTAAAGGCAGGGATTGCGAGAGTGGCCAAGGGGACTCTCTGGGAATAGAGTGTTTTGGTGCCATTCAGAGGAATGTGAGGGATATAGATGCTCATTGGTGTGAGCATCAGAACCGTACGTACCTCAGACCTTTGCAGAAGTCCGCTGTCTGTCTCAGAAATGTCATTATGATGTTTTTTTCTCGCGATATTTCTATTTCTGTGACACTCTGAATTTTGGCTTACAACATCTCCCATCACATAATAATATCATAATATATGATTCCATGGCCGGAGAGTGCCATCATTCCCCCCCCCCATATTTTCTATCATCTTTCTCGTCTTATGCAATGTCTTACGCGTGTTACATGGGTACTGTGAAGTCTTACCCCCCAGCTAGTGGAACCCATGCCCCTTACACGTAGGAGGCCCACCCGGGGTTGTTTCCTGTTCTCTCACTTTCCACCTACCGTCTTCACCTGAATAGAACGCCCAGTCATTATAGCTGCATCTGGACAGAAAGTTGCCCTGAATACAGCTATAATGACCCGACGCTCTATTCTGGTGAAGGCGGTAGGGTTTACCAGGTGGTTCTCTGTGAGAATATTTATTGAATCCGCCAGTACACGGCCCCAGCAACAAATGGGGGCAGGCCTCCTTTTGGGTGGAGCCGCCAGCCATTTTGCTCCGTTGGCGAAGCCCCGAACGTTGCCGCAGCATGCAAGCCACAACTTTGCAAAAAATTGCTGGGAAAAGTACAGCTGGTTTAAGAAACAAACTGTGATTGGTTTACGGAGTTTGTATTAGGATATATATTTATTTATAGGATTCAGCCTCCTGGGGCAAGGTCCCACTAGCACAGAGGATTGGATTTAACGCCTGAATGTGGACGTGTTTCTGGAGTGGGCCAGAAAATGGTGATTGGTCTGCTTTTCTGCACCTCTGCTTAACATGCATCCAGGTTCAGGCGCTTAATCCAATCCTCTTTGCTAGTGGTGTGACGATCCCTTTTCTGATGCGCGCGATTATCTGCACGAGTGACCTTGGGCCCTTAGGAGGCCTGCGTATGAGTAACGGGGCTAATTGCGCAGGTGCCCCTAACTTTCTTTTCGTTTTTGCAGAAACTGGGCCCCAATTATGCAGCGACAAAAACGATGATGTGGCCCTCTCCTTTTTGCCTTTCCTGTTGGAAACTCGGGATAGGGTTTTTTTTTTTTTTTGGGTGTGATCATCGCTTGGGGCCAACCTTTCATTTTTTTTTATTCTTGGGGAACTGCGCGGACAGCCGCGCAGGTAATTGGATTTTCTTCGGAATTAGGACTTTAATTAGAATATGATTTTGGGCACGCTGTATTTTGGATGGCAGCAGCAGTAAGTGCACGCTGCTTCTTACTCGTGCGCGTATTGGTACGCTCTTTTCCCGCCGCGCCTTAATCCCAGTCTCAACTGTCTTGTTTCTCTTCTTGATCCCGCGTGTAACTGTAATCTCTCTTTTTGCTAAGTCCTTACTGCATGCATGCATGTGCCTAGTTTCTCCCCTTCTCATTGGCCGAAGTGATGCATGCCAGGATTGATGCATGGAGAGTGGCTAAGTCTCCCAGGTTGCGGCCCGGGCATGCTGATGGTAGTCCAGATAATACCAGTCTGAGTACCCCTTACTGTGCGAGGCTGAAAGTGCCACCCAGTGCCCAAAGTGAAGACCTGGCCAATTTCTGAAAAGGCCGTTAGAGAGAGAGAGAGAGAGAGAGAGAGAGAGAGAGAGAGAGAGAGAGAGACAGAGACAGAGA